CTTTTAGAGAATATAGAGAAGGAGTGCAGAATGTAAATATTTTTTTTAAAGTATGCCTAAAAATATATTAAATTAATAAAAAAACCATTACACACACTACCATATATTTGACGCAAAACGCATGCATACTATTTATTGTCAAACTTCTGTTCTTGACGTCTGTGGTCAAATTGAGAATAGATTAAATATCGTTTGTCTTTATTAATATTTGTCCAAAGTGTAGTCTTGGCAAAATTTGTGATTATAGAAATATAACAGTCTTTGAAAATAGAATCATAATAGTGTACAAACTTACAATTTCAATTAATTATAGTCGAATTTCGACAATTGCGGGACCACTAGTATTGATAATTAGCCATTGTTAAATAGGATATCCTTCACACATCTGACAAATCCCCTGAGTCTAGGTTCAAAGATATCAAGGTCACCGTGACATTTAGCCAAATCATTATACTACCCGACCATTGTTACCATAGGGTTATAGTATGATATATTATTAATATAATATTATTATGTCCGTATCGTAAAGAGGTTTTTTCAAATGAGAATGTTAGGCTCTGAGGTGTGTGTTGATAGAAATATTATATGTATGTGTGTATTATTATGTGTATATTATTATTACAATGCTTATTCATTCTATCACAAACGAAAACCAAGTTTATTTTAGTGAAACTCTATTAAGATTTAAATTATTTCATATTTTATGTAAACACGAAAAACTATTTTAATTATACATTTATTTTATTTTTTGTAACTAAATTTAAATTAGATTGAATGTTATATGTATTTTTAAATTAGGTTTGTTAGATTTGCCATTTATGCACTTATTCAGGCAGAGCTTTTACGGACAAAAATCATTCAAATATGGGTCCAAAACACAATTTCAGCTTAGTATTAAACGAAAACAGCGGGCGTTTTACTTATTACGCCACAAAAAATTTAATCGATACAAATTTATCGACAACACCTCATCACTGGCCCACACTATCGCCTTATTAGGTTTCCGACGCGGCAATTTATCGAGTGGGTCGCGAAAATTGCTCGACAGTATAGTCTGGACTAGTTAATGCCTTTATGTAAAATATTAGGCCGCACGCCCGTTTATATTGTCTCCAAGTGTACGCAGATTTTGAACTAGAATTAATTAGGCAATTTGGGTAACGTTACTGTTAGAGTTTCCTGGTAGAAGGAAAAGATCTTCCATGGAGTGTCTTTAATTTGGAGCCGTTAGTATTCTTCAAGTCTGTATGGACTGATATCACAGTAATGTTTTATTGTTTACTAACGAACCGCCCTCGCTTCGCTTCGGAAACTGTAATTTATTATTGATTTCTCCACTATTTAATGGATGTTATTATACATATAAACCTTTCTATTCAATCACTCTATCTATTAAAAAAAACCACATCAAAATCCGTTGCGTAGTTTTAAAGATTTAAGCATACATAGGGACAGAGAAAGCGACTTTGTTTTATAGTAATACTATGTAGTGAAGAGCGTCGACTTTTAAACCAGAATACATGGCTACTTCGTGATAAAAATAGGCCGTTATCGAGCTTAGACCAGACTAAGGTAACCTAGCACCTCCAATTTTCCGCAAGGGTGTCATAAAATGCGATTAGGTATTCAAGAGAGAAAGGTTAGTAATATCTTCTCGGTATTTTGCTAACATACTGAGATACCTGTATTTTCTGGTAAGGCTTAACATAAGACTGCACGGGTAGGTACCACCAACCTGCTAATTTGCTTCGCAAAGCAATCATGAGTTCTGAATTCAAAGGTGCAATGGCCTTTATGAAACAGGATTGAAGACTCAACTTCATGACTTAAAGTGGGATTCACTTAATGATGTCTAAGGGCCACATTGTGCGCTTAAAACTAGAAAGATAGCAAGCTTTAGCAATCGCGAAAATCAAAACTATGATCGTTAATGTAGGGCAATGAATGGAAAATACGACAATAAAATAAATTAAAATTAACTTCTTTCTTAATAGGTTCATATGGACAACAGAAGTAATGACCCACTTGTTTAATCGCCAGCCCAGTCTAGCTCATAAAATAAGTCAATTTGCATATAATTACAGGGGAATTCTGGAAAGAGAATAACTTTGCGCGCTAATCTTAAGTTATTGCCAACTTAAATCATAATAGGAGCGAGCTTAATAGGGTCGGATATTAAGCTTCGGAAGGAGTTTTAGCGATTTTCGGTTTTAAAGAAAGATATTTTTGAGGACTATCCAGTTTGATGAATATTTCACCATGGCCGTTATTTTATCGCAGTTGAAATCGACCTCACGCCTCAACCTTTAGTAACGGTTGATAAGTAAGAGAAATAACCCCAAAATTGGATTACCTCTTGGTTTTTTTATTTAATAATCTGCCCGCGTATTTTTGAGAAGATAGTTATTGGGATAAGCTGATATTATGACGTACGGCTGTGTGATTGATGGCGTGAACTAGAATTAGAATTGGTTTACGGAAGGAGCTTAGTTAGTTGTCAAGATAGGAGCTACAAGACTTTTATTTCTTGTCTAAAACTGGCCTCTATGGACTGTGATAACTCTTTATAATTGCGCACAAGCAGTGAGCCCTTCTGTTTAGTTCGAGAAACACACACCGAAATGTATGTGTATATATTTTTTCCTTCATAGCTTCTAAACTACGCCTCGCAATTCTTTTAAGCGAATAAGTTGCTTCCAATACATTTAACAGGCCCCTCGTCGCGTTGTTTAGCCCACTGAGTTTCTCGCCGGATCTTCTCAGTGGGTCGCGTTTCCGATCTGGTGGTAGATTCTGCGAAGCACTGCTCTTGCTAGGGTCAGTGTTAGCAACTCTCCGGTTGAGCCCCGTGAGCTCACCTACAAACGTTAGGGTGAAGCTGAAATAGCCTCTCAAGGCTATCAGCATCGGTAGGAAAAAAAAAGTCACGTTGAAAACCGCTGTTTAGTTGAAGTAGCCGTCAATTCTCAACCAGAGTTAGGCCGAAGAAGAAGCATATTATGTCTAATTTACGTTTTTAATAGTAATTAGTGTGAGTATAATAAATACATTTTTTATTATGTTTAGGAGTGGGTAATCAAAATTTTAGTGTAAATTCAAATCACAGGACAAAAGAATGAAGCAAAACAAACAATAAAAGAAGAAACGTAAAAAGCTATTCGCTATGGCACGTTGCGATGGATATATAGAAATATGACCTAATGAGGGTTGACATCAGGAAGGCAGTCAGTCGTACAATTCATACTGTTGCGCCAGTAAGAGTAACGCCATCTATCGTCGAATAGTCGAAGGAATATCGAAGGATCTAGTAGCATCTAGAACGCCATCTATTGTTAGTTAGCGGAAACACAATACCCGATTTGCATGGAATGTTCTCGATAATTCTATGGATGTGGTATCGGCTATGAAAGCGTTGCAAAGATGGCACGCAGTCAGTCAGTAATCGGAACTACTCGAAGCGAAACAGCGAACGGATCACCTGAAGCGAAGCGGAAGAAGCGAATTGAGAATTTTAAAGTGTTTGTGAAGTGTTGTAAGTGCTAATACAGTGCTAAGTTGTACTTTGGTGGAACATTTATTTATTCTCAGCGCGTAACAATACCAAATCTCTATGTAGCATAAGCACATACTGCGCCGACTTCATATAATGTTGGATTAGGTCACTGGTATCTATGAATATGTTGACTCCAATTAAGAATCGAACTTAGACTCTGTGGCTTAGCAGATATAGCAACTAGAGTAAAGATCGGATGAAACCAAATAACAAATTAAACAACAAAAACACTGAATTAAGAGTGACCATGTCCTTTTAAATGCAAACATTAATATTCATTAATCTCCAAACCTAGTAGATATTTGAGTATATCCGTCCCTCTCCCGCTCTCTACTAGCATAAAAAAGGGCGAGCAAGACAAAAGACGAGCCTCTCTGACCTACGCTAATCTATCACTGCGTCTTTACTTAATGAAAATTTATTTTATTCGCAAATTTCAGTCTCTTTTTATTAACATTTAAGATGAAACTTGACATGTATAGTTATCACTTACTATCAGCCGACTACGTTTCTTGTTACTATTTCTAATTATGCAACATAGATACTGATTATATATGAGTCGTCTATTATCAAAGGTGGCAATCTGTGCATTTGGACAAAAAAATGTTATTGATATGTCAATACAGATTGATTTGAATATAATCGTCTCCTTCAAAGAATACGGTTCAAAACCTGCATTAAATAAAGGTTAATACTTAACCTGTTATTTATCTAAGATGTCGTTCAGAAGAGTTTTGTGACTGCCAATGGAATACAAAGTCAATAATTCGTTTTTCTGATTTACCAATAATTGTCCAAAAGTCACATTGCCGGCTTTGATAATAGTCGACTCATATTATGCACTGATTTCATATTATTTTGTGTGATGCACATATGTGAAGAAAAATACAAGAATTTACCATTACTGAGGCTAAGCCTTAATGAAACAAATTGAATTACTAAGGCATAAAGACTAGACTGTGTCTCTCTCTGGTGTATAAGGCTATCAATCGATTTTTTAGAACAGTTAGTTCATAAAATCTCATACCAGCGAACACATTGCTCTATTTATTAATGCATAATAATATGCATCCAGCCTGCCAATAACTAAGGCTATAAATATCGCCAAGGACAGGAAGAAGTGGAGAAGCATAGTGCATCGAGTGATCAACACTTTAAGCTAGACACGACCATCAGCAATAAAGAGACCGACTTAGAAGAAGAAGAGGAATATCCACTCAACTGTATCTGGATCAAGAAATTTGCTTTAAAAAATAAGCCCCATGTAAGCTATATTTATGCGAAATTTCATCTAAATCTATTCACCTATTATGACTGATTGAGTGACAAACAAACAAACATACAAACTATGACTAAATTATACTTTTTTTTTTTTAGACTAGTTAATATGAGTTGGCTTTAGAACTCATCTGTCCGTATCTAAAACAATAAAAGAAATACTTCATACCTTTGACGTTGAGGGATATTTTCTTCGTAATTGGATTGTCCAGAGCGGCCGATGAAACAGTGCACTGAAGCTTCCCCCCTATTTCTTCTCTCGTCACCGTTAGCGACAGCGTGTGTATCACGGTACTGTTGTCCGGAGTTTGCGTCTGGGCTGAAAAAGCAAACAAACTTTAACTATCTTAGGAGCGAGTGATTTTCTTCTGTCCGCGCCAAGAACTCAACAAAAGATTTGAAAATATATATAATTTTATTTTTTAACCTAATCTGGTAGCTTTGGGAGGCTATATCAGTCTAACCTTAATGTGTAAGTCAGCTCTCGGGGCTTAAGCTGGAGGTGTTGCTAACACTGGCCCTAGCAAGAGCAGTGCTTCGCAGACTCTATCACCGGATCGGAAACGCGACCCACTGAGAAGATCCGGCAAGAAACTCAGTGGGCTGTGTCTGTGGGTTAAATATAGTAACTCTGATCGTACGTGCAACTTGGCGGAAAGCGTAACATCAAATAATTTAAAAACAACGTTAACAATATATCTTTAGCGTTCCAGAAAGTTCGTATCACTACACCAAATTATATAATAGTTTCGAAAATAAAATATGAACACTGATGTGCCGTTGCAGTTTTAAAAAGGAGTGAAATTACCAGTTCTTTATTAAAATTATAATGCGCTGCGTGATGGTTTTCATTTGCTATTGGTTAATGCGCGTCCGCCATGCTTAGTACGCGCTGCAGCTGAGCGAGATAGCACAAGTTTCGATTTATTGACTTAAAATCTTAACTTAACGCAATAAAGTCCATATTTAAACAGTTTAGAACCCGCACTTCATCGATTTTGATTTGAACATCAAATTCTCTACTTATAAAAGTGGTAGGCTTAGCGTTGCGTTAAGACAGGCTGTATTGCCTAACAAGATACGTCACGCTAAGTGGTAGATACAGCGAAGCACTACTCTTACTAGGGCCAGTGTTAGCAATTCTCTCAGTTTGAGCTGTGAGCTCATCTACCGTCCGTGAGTAGTTGGAATAGTCCCTAGGCTATTAACGATTTGGTAGGGAAAAAAGTAAAAAAGTAACGCGGTCAATAATAAGTATATGTATCATTAAATATGTTGTAATTTTATGAGGTAAGCTACCCAAATTTTGTCTGGATCGAAAATAGCATTAAAATAATGGCAATCTCTTTGAATACATCTGTGGTAATTTGAAAAACTTGTAGACTTTAACTTGGTTTGGTCTAAAGTTTTTGGGCGCGGATTAAAAAAAATGCATTGGCATATAGTAAGACATAGGAGTTGCTTTCAATTAATTACCTCGCTGAAATTACAGTAAAATCTTAAGAAAAATCGTAATCTTAAGAAAATGATCAGGGGCCAGTAATTATGCCTCTGTGTTGATGTTACAATACTTTTGAAGTGAAACTTCTATAATGCGATTAATGTTGTTTTATTCGTGTTTTCAATAATCAACTTTATCGATAATCAACTTAAACATAAACTTTTTTTTTTATTGAAAGAAAATAACAAATAATATAATATTAATATGTAATTCGTATTTAAATATAATTTCTAAAAAACACAATGTATCAAAAAAAAAAAAAACTTTAAAAATGTTGAAGATCTCGCATCTCTTATACAAATCATTCCCTATTGCAAGCAGCAATTTGATTTAATAATGAAAAATGAAGTAAACCACATCGAAAGAGAAGTTTCACTTCATTCACGCGCACCAAATTGCACGCATACCGTTTTTTTTTTGTTCACAAATTATCCAGTACTATTTGGAATTTCGACCCAGAACCCTTACAAGCAACTAATTAAAACTATAATAAAGGACGGAACATTGATTTTGGCGCCCTCGACGCGACGGCCCGCGCCCGCACCTATCTGTCTCGTAACTAACAATTAATTACTTCATACCCTACATTCAAGATTTATACACGGGTTGGAAGATTATTCGATTTATCTTTAACGGTTTCGGGGAAAAATAAAGGTTTTTTTGATAAGTGCGGTGTTTTTGTGTTAAGAATGGAGCTGTAGATTATTAGTTTATCAGGGCACGCTCGAAATCCTAATTGATTGCATTCAAATAATGGCGTTAGGACAACGGGGAGGCTTTAGTCGTCGTGGCCTAAAGGATAAGACGTCCGGTGCATTCGTGTGTAGCGATGCACCGGTGCTCGAATACTGCAAGCAAGTACCAAATTTTCTAATAAAATACGTACTTAACAAATGTTCACGATTGACTTCCACGATGAAGGAATAGCATCGTGCAATAAAAATAACGAGTGGTAGGACCTCTTGTGAGTCCGCGCGGGTAGGTACCACCACCCTGCCTATTTCTGCCGTGAAGCAGTAATGCGTTTCGGTTTGAAGGGTTGGGGCAGCCGTTGTAACTATACTTGAGACATTTAGAACTTATATCTCAGGGTGGGTGGTGCATTTTCGTTGTGGTGTTTATGGGCTCCAGTAACCACTTAATACCAGGTGGGCTGTGAGATTGTCCACCCATCTAAGCAATAATAAAAATAAAAACTTTGGTTCTTTCTGGCTTCTGTATCCAATGTTCTGTGTGGTTTGTATGTGCCTTGAGGAATTGTTTGAGATTATTTCGTGATCTCATTTTTACCATCGCCCCTGACTCTGGAGTAGTGTTCATTCTTACTAACTAGGAACACTGCTCTCATCTTGAGTCCAATATTTGCCGAATAACTTCTAGATATGAGATCTTAATGTCGTCTTCTTCAAATGACGGTTGACAAGAATTCGCAGTTATTTTTATACCTGCGAATTCTTGTCAACTTGTTTTAGTTTACAGAAAAAATACACTTAAATAATTAAATTACCGATTACATGCCACAAAATGCCATCAAGCTCCCCAAACTAGGATTCTCTGTAGTATGGGAACCAGAGACTTATAAACACACTTTTAGATATTTAAATGTATACACAGATACACATTAAACACACCTACTACTACCACTGAAACGTTATTATTATTTTTTAATTTAAAAAGCATTTAGAGATTTTTCTAGATGAATTTAAAAAAATTCAAATCCTGCGATTGCAGTCGGAGCCGCCGGCGCTACCATTAATATATTATATCTCGAACCTTCGCGAATTTAAACAGTAATTAAGCAAATCATTTATTATTTATTCATAAAAGCGGTCCAGAGTTCACAACGCGGTAATGTGAATGTAATTATTATAGAGGTTGGAGCGTTTTGAGGTACGTTGTCATTCTTTGAAATGTTGAAATATGGTGTTGGAGGCGGACAAACACAAGCTTAATGTGCCGATGAGTAGGTTACATAAGATACGAAATTCATTCGGGCGTTTGTCTGTGCGCCTGTACAACAAAATCCCACAAGATGTTCAGAACCTACATATACATAGGCTTAAGAAAACTATTAAAGAACATCTGTGCAATAAAACTTACTATAAAGTCAATGATTATCTAGAAGATTGCACAAAGTGGGAATGAGTTGCTCGCTCCGGGCATTTCGATATTGCAATAATTGTTGTTGTTGTAAATATTCATTGTAAACATGAATATTTAAAACAAAAATCTAATATTAAAAAAAAAAAGACATGCCCACTGAGTTTCTTGCCAGTTCTTCTCAGGACAGAGGCTAGTTTTTGTGAATTGGCGGTAGTTCTTTTTGACGTTCAACAAATTGTTGTCAAAAAAAATTGATTTGATTTGATTTGGATGTTGCGAATTCCCTGGACTGCATACCAGACTAACTTATCAATTCTGAAGGACCTCGGCAATACCACAAGGCTTCTATCGGCTTCAAGCTTCTCAAGTACTTCGGTCACATCGCTGATAAAGACCCTGATGACCTAGAGATGATAGTTGATTGGGTTGAAAGGAGAAGATCACGCGGACGCACGCATCAAGCTAGACACGTCTTTCGGCAATGAAGAGACTGACTAAGAAGGTCATTCTGTGGTCGCTTACTGTTTGAGGTACAGTAAGCGACCAATGTAGAGTGTTTGTATTCGATCACAATAAAGCTGATTAAAGTCTTGATCAAAGGCTGATCGAAGATTGGCCGGAGTTAGTACAATTCACGTTGAGATATATTATGAGCATACAATTCTATGGATCTTTCACGCACAAATTCTTTTTTTTTTGTTGCCTACCTTAGCTAATAGCCTTGAGAGGCTATATCAGCGGAACCTTAACTAGTAGGTGAGCTCACGGGGCTCAAACCTGACGATGTTGCTAAACCCTAGTAAGAACCGTGCTTCGCAGAATCTACCACCGAATCGGAAACGCGACCCACTGAGAAGATCCGGCGAGAAACTCAGTGGGCTGTGTCTGAGGGTTAATTTACTCGTCGAGCCCTTCGTCGCAAGCGACGGGTTCGACGAGAACGGTGACCGGTGCTTGAGGTACCTAAAAGCACCGTTAGTGGATCGGGAGGATCCGAGATGACGTGTTTGGGGCGACGTCGACTGCTTTCCNCGCGACCCACTGAGAAGATCCGGCGAGAAACTCAGTGGGCTGTGTCTGAGGGTTAATTTACTCGTCGAGCCCTTCGTCGCAAGCGACGGGTTCGACGAGAACGGTGACCGGTGCTTGAGGTACCTAAAAGCACCGTTAGTGGATCGGGAGGATCCGAGATGACGTGTTTGGGGCGACGTCGACTGCTTTCCATTCTTTCCGCAGGATCGAGAATGTAGTTACCGGCGACCATGATGAGAGGGTTCTCGTGTCGTGCCGCTTTATCGAAATGGACAAATTCTTAGTGACGTAAATGAGTTGGATTGCATTATTCTTCGGGCTCACATCAAGACCCACAATCAGTGATTGCGTTTTAATTTTAATTGGTTTTTTATTAGTTTAATGTAAATTTATGTTTATTTTAAGACCGTTTCACGCATCAAGTACCGATGACAATATAACAGTTCTCTGACCTTTCATATCTTGATCAGTATCAATAGGATATATTATTGTATTGCATGACTCGATTTCGCCCCTTAATATTGTGAGCATTATCAAACTAAATGCTCGCGAATACACTAATCATCATAGACAAACATAATGATCACTTGGTGGCAGCTTACGTTCCAAAGCTCCATTGTCGATTGAGTTAAGTCTTAGGACCAACAGTTACAAGACTTTCAACAAATACGAGATAGGTATTT